ACCTCACCTGGAAGCAAGCAAGTGCAGTTGTCACATGGGCAACTTAAGGCATGCCTGTTGCTGCCAGTGCTGCTGCATTCTAGACCATTTGAAGTTTCCGGGTGCTCTTCAAGGGTATCCCTGAATTTCTACAAACGTTCCACAAATTAGCTAAGGTAATTTATTAGTGAAGTAAAATAGAGACTACAATAAAATCATAAGGTGCCAGGCAATATCAAATTCTGATGAGAAGCTCTGCTTATTCTGCTCTCTCTGGGCCAAGATTTTCATGATGTATGATTTTGCATGATGTTCCAGGTGCCGTATTTGTTAGTGAGATTCCGAATGAGCCGAGGGCAGAGTTTCCTGAAACTCTGATTGTCTGTGCCGAGGATCCTTTGCCCTAGAAGAGTATACAGCATGGGTGGTTTTCCATGGAGCAGTTTCAGCTGTTTTGAAATCCACCAATTTCAAGGGGCATTTGTGACCCTCTACTGGGAAGCGAAGGAAAGCATTTGAGTTGCTGTTTTTCTGAACACCAGCCAAAAGGGCTTTGGTGTTCCAGCTTCCAAATGGCTGCCATGATGATGAAAAGACAAACATTTTTCCCATCTTGCTTAGCGCTAATGGCCTCATCACTGCTTTGTGATGGGATGTGAATTGCTGCTGTGCCCAATGCAGCTTTAATTCCTTTCCTCAAATGAGCAGTTGGGATGCATCCTCCCTGGAGGGCCAGTAAAGTACTTGGCTTGGAATATTAATATAGGAGCTGTTTTGTGGCTGCGGCTGTTCCTTCTCCTCCGATTTCCTCAAAAACAGCCCTAGGGAAATAGGCAGGCAATGGGGAGCCCTTGCTTGTGGGGCTGGTGCAGGAAGGCTCTGTCCTCCATCTTGGTCTTGCCACCTGCCTAAGCATAGCTGAAGAGAGGGCTCAATCCAAATGGCTCTGGGCCTCCAGCCACCACCGAACCCTTCAGCAGCCAGGAAGAGACCTGTGGGTGGAAGGGGCCATGGGGGAGGTGGGGGGGAGGGCTGGATCGCAGCCTTGCAGGGAGCGACCAGAACATCCCGGTGGGGCCTGGAGCACAGCAGGGCTTGGATTGTTTTAGGCCACACTAAAATGCCAGAGCTTCTTTTGCTTTGGCAGGGGTGTTACATGGGCATGTTGCCTCCTGGATTCCATTCCTTCCCTTAACTTGTCAGCTTCTTGTTCCCAACAATATTCATTGGTGATTCCAAAATATCCGCATCTTCCTAGATTTCCTGTTAGTGCGGTTGAAGTCTTTTGGGACTGGGAGTCTCAGTCTTGGCATGGCAGTAGATTTAGTTCAGAAAGGCTGGCTCTGGAGATGGCCTGGACTGGGGAAAAGCCCACCTGATCCTGACCTTCAAGAAAATCTTGTACTTTCCCCTCAGGAGCCCGTTCCCTGGTCTGGAGCACTTTGGGGAAAATTTGGTGATCCCTAGGCCTACAAGTGCTAACTCATGAAGCTTTTCCTAGCGTTTAGTGACAATGTGGCTTCTGTTCAGTAAAAGCCATGATTTGTGTTCTTCTCTCTGGGGTGATGGAGGAATTCTGTGGAGACACCTACAGGGGCCTGGAAATTGCTACCCACCCGCTCCTCCCAGGGTGTCTATGGGGCACGGCTGGTGAGATAAGAGACGTGCTGGATGAGCCCGCCATTCTTATGGCAGCGTTGGCTTTCCTCCCAGGGCCCAAAGGGATAACTCTAGGGACGCATAAGCAGGAGGTGGGGACCTTTCCTCTCCCACCATAGTTTTCCTGCAATGGGTATATGAAGACAAGCCACCCTTGCCTCAGAAATAAGACTAGCCCTCATTGTTCATGAATTTCTTCAGTCTTCTTTTAAGACACCCAGGTTACTCATCATTGTCCCATCTTGTAGGAATGAATTCCACAACTTACTGATGTGCCCAATTCCAGTATGATTCTTGCTGATTTATAGTTAAAAATAAATCAATCCAATACCAGTTAGGTTTGAATCAGATCATTGAGTGACCATTGATCCTACTGTTTGGGTATTGAGTGTGTGTATGTTTGTGTGTGCCTTTAAGTCAGTGTTGACTGCAAGCAACTGCCTGGGCAAGTCCCTGTGATTTTGTTGGCAAGATTGTGGAACTGGTTTGCCACTGCCTGCTTGCTAGGGCTGTGACAGAGTGACTGGCCCAAGGTCATTCAGCCAAGGTGGCACTAAAATAGAAGGCCTCTCAGTTTCTATATATAAAATTTTTTATTATTTTGAATTAAACAACAAATACAAATGATGCGTCTACAAACACCACAAAAGAAAAAAGATTCTTACTCAAAATATTTCCGAATACTCCCGGCAGTCCCCGCCTTGCCTCCACCCTTATCCACTTTCCCTCTCTTTCCTCCCCCTCACCCCACAACCTCTCCTCTTTCCTCCTACCACT